ACACAATGAACGTGGGTACACCTGAGAGTCGAGCATCGTAAATGAGGACGACGATGGTCGCTCGCTGTTTTCGCTCATTGGGTACCCAGTGTTTCCCGTTTTACCAGTCCTAGCATTAAATCTTTTCAAGGAGATTTCATCATTAGTTCGTTCGTGGTCCGGGGGACCTGGAAATAGACGACGTTGGTTGCTTCTCACGTTCCTCGTCTGCTCGAGCGTTGATGTTTGGTTAAGAGAGAAGAGAGGGTGAGAGAGAGAGGAGGGCCATCGTGGATTACATGGTCCGAGATCCGGGGGTCGTAAATGTGAGCGATGGTGTTCGCATGCTATTTACGTTCTTCGGATGCCTCGTGTTTTTTTTCACTAAATGGAATATTGTAATGAACCCAGTCTGGCAGATACTCGGCAGTCGTCAAATACAAGTAGACTCAGTATCTGCAACAAAGTCTCCAATTCGAGAAGTGATAACTTAAACAGTATCTCATCACCAATAGACGAAGAGAATGGAGGGGGAACAGACAGGGGAGAAGATGGAAGAGATGAGCGAAGATCACACAAGAATAATCCCGTCAAACCCCTCTTTTTCTCCGGGCTTGTTCCTCCTCCACGTCAACAACCAATATATGATAACGAGTATAAAAATCCTGATCACACAATAATGCCACGTGGCACTCTCATCTCGTGAAGACCATGAAGACACAGCAGATTACAGTGACGACGTCAACCTCAGGTGAGTATCCCGATCCCAATCATCTACAGATCGCGATCTTTCTCCTCCTTGCAACCAGTCACCTCATGTAGACAGCGTGGACAATGCCACGTCAGCAGTCAAGACTCAAGACAGGTGGCCTGCGCCACACCCTCAATGAAGTCCAGTGACATGCGCCACATCAGCAATGTAGACTAGTGGTAGGCGCCACATCAGCATGCAATGTAGACCAGAGGCAGCGCCACATCAGCATGCCATGCAGACCAGAGGCAGTGCCACATCAGCATGCCATGTAGACCAGAGGCAGCACCACATCAGCATGCCTTGTAGACCAGAAGCAGTGCCACATCAGCATGCCATGTAGACCAGAAGCAGCGCCACATCAGCATGCCTGCCGCACAATGCAGAACGCGCCAGCATGTCGCCACAGTCCCTGTCGTCGTCCGCGGTGCTAGCGCACAGCCAGCGTCAAGCCAGCACTTCGCCAGCGCAGTCAAAGTCAAGCCGGCGTTCAAGCAGCATAGCAAGACTGAATGCTGACCACCTCGAGGCCAGGCTTTAAGTGGCATTTGACGAGGCTGTCTGGCCTCGAGTCCTGTTCCCTCAGTCGTCCAGATTGCCTCACAGCCGAGGGCCCCGATTGTGTACAGTTGCAGACTTCCCCTTGGACCTTATGCTGTCTGGGTACCTGCGTACAAACAAGTGTATGTGCTTGACCGGCGGCCTGGGCTGGATACCTTTGGTTGACAAAAGTCAACTGTCTCACGTCCAGGCCCTGAATTTTCGTGTGGGATCTTTTCCCCCATTTTGGCCTGGGCTGAGGGCGGCCAAGTAGGCCCTCAGACATTCTGCGAGACATATGGCATGGGTTATTGCAATAGACATGGAAGGGACATCGAGAGTGAAAAAAAGAGGATAATAATAATAATAATAATAATAAAATTTCAGGTAATCGAACAGCAAGATTGCGGAGAAATGTGAAAGCAAGCAAAAAAAGTTCGTGCGTGTTTTTTGTTTTATCGGGTGCTCCTCGTTGCTCCTCACCTTTATAAGTTCATATATATATGAGGGGATTCTGCAGACTGTTGAGGGTTCAGCCTCCTGATGAGTCGGTGAAACTCCGACGAAACAGTTTGTCACAGCCCCTCGTTTGTTGTCCTCTTCTCTCTCTCTGCCTACGGTTTACCGGGCAGTTCTGTTTGTGACGATACGGTTTACCGGGCAGTTCT